TGCATCGATGACATTCCGCCCGCATATAAAATCAGTCCGTGACCGTGCCGCGTTTATTCTCGGTAGACTCTACCCCATGATCTGTAAGCGGAGTAAAATGTCCCTTCGGAACAAGGTGACACTTTACAAAACTTGCATAAGGCCCGTCATGACTTACGCGAGTGTGGTGTTCGCTCACGCGGCCCGCACACACATAGATCCCTACAATCCCGCTTTTGCAGGTTAGCTGTCGGGGCTCCGTGGTTCGTGAGGAACGTTGACCTACACGACGACCTGGGCCTCGAATCAATTCGGAAATACATGAAGTCAGCGTCGGAACGATACTTCGATAAGGCTATGCGTCATGATAATCGCCTTATCGTAGCCGCCGCTGACTACTCTCCGAATCCTGATCATGCAGGAGCCAGTCACCGTCGACGCCCTAGACACGTCCTTACGGATCCATCAGATCCAATAACCTTTGCACTAGACGTCTTCAGCTCTAGGAGCAGGCTTAGGGACCTCGGTAACCGTACTCGTTGAACTCGACAAAGAGTTCGCCGTGCAACCTAAGCCATGAATCAGCTCGCTGAGTTTCTCGCCGGATCTTCTCAGCGGGTCGCGATTCCGATCCGGTAGTAGATTCATTCGCGAAGCAGCTACTCTTGAGTTGTTAGGTCTCTTTCGGAGGCGCTCGGGCAGCTGTTAGCAAATCCCACCCCTCCTGGCTGAGCCTTTGCTCGCCCACCTGTCCTGGTGAAACTGGAAAGGCCTCCGGGCCACCAGTAATCCTTCAATCATAAAAAAAATAAAAAAAATAAAAAAAAAAAACTAACAAAAAGTTTCACTTTTGTCTCGCGTACGTAATTGGACATAAACTATATGCATGATAAACTACGTAAAACATTTCTAGGTTAATTTCGAAATGCACTCAGTTTAACGCAAATTAAGTAACTTCCTATGCAAACGCATACACGTGCATATTAAACGCGACTCTATTTACCGTCTCGGCGCCTTTAATTACGTTCAAAGCTTACCCGTATTCTGTAAGTTAATTACCTTTTTCTCGCAGTAGGTGTTCGGTGTTGGAGTCTTCGGTGGTACGAGAGACTTGAACGGCGCTCCAAATGAGTATGCGGGTTTGTTCCTTTTTACGTAGTCGAACTTAGGATCGTGTTCTCCCGGTCCGGGCAAATTTTGCGTTTTACAGTCTTTCGCGGTGTAACCAAGCGAGTACGCCGGAGATTTTCTATTAAAGTAGAATGCTTTTTAAATCGTTTTTTTTTTGCGTATATAGCTAAACCGTTTCACGGTGTAACTAGTTATTGAAGCTATCGTGCTTCCTGAAGTTCATAGACATAATAACATGAATATCGCCACCTACTTCGAGGCACGAGGCCGAAGGTTCAGTATTGTATAAAGGCTGTCTTAACCTTCAAATCGAAACGAATGACTGCTTTAGGGCCGAAACCTGTAGAAAGACGTAAATGCCAGTTGGCGGTTGTAGTACGTTAGTATAATACACAGAAAGTGCTGCTGATCATTCTCCTGAAACATATACATATATTTAGACTTTATCTGAAGACCATTTTTTTCTGAGGCTTCTATTAATTAGTTTTTTTTTGGATGGACGAGCTCACAGCCCACCTGGTGTTAAGTGGTTACTGGAGCACATAGACATCTACAACGTAAATGCGCCACCCACCTTGAGATATAAGTTCTAAGATCTCAGTATAGTTACAACGGCTGCCCTACCCTTCAAAACCGAACCGCATTACCGCTTCACGGCAGGAATAGGCGGGTTTGTGGTAAATACCCGCGCGGACTTACAAGAAGTCCTACCACCAGTAAATAGTATATCTCCTAGTCCGAATGAAAAAAGATTTCATGTTAGAGAAGAAAACAATTTGTACGATTAAATCATTCAGCCATTTGACCGCGAACAAATCAATTTTATTGGTCTTTCAATAGAAAATCATTTCCATAACCGTTCCGCTGGTTAGTTTTAGAGAGGAGATAACTATCGAAATTATAGTTATGGTAAATTGGTCGAACAGATGCCAACTGTTACTGATAAATACACAAATACCTCATTTATATCTGTTATTCGTAGAACCGACCAAAATAAATGTTTGCGATTCGTTCCGAGTACGGTTAATCACAATAAAACTATTGTCATGAAAACTAAATAAATAAAATTCAAAAATATTTTTAATCAATGATCATTGTTAAAGGATTTCACGGCCCGTCTCCTGTTAAGCGATTGCAGAACATCTTATAGGAATGCTATTGCCCAGTTTGAAGTATTAAGTGCACTGGGATAGTAATTATCTTAGCCAATTGAACCTTTCAACTGAACCTCACTATTACTTATTGGTAGAAATAGCCAGTGCTGACACTTTAGCTATCACTCCTATCAATAAAAAAACCGCGTAGACAGACGTGGCTATCGTTGGGCGGCTTATCATGGTGCCGTACCGAGACGGCCGACGTCCAGAGCCTTCAATTCGTCTCGAAGGCTACGTCGGCTGGAGGTTCTTGGGGTGAGAAGCGAGTTTGGTTACAGTGTTGATTCTGGTTACCCAGCCCGGGTTTTGACCTCCCTGCATCTGCAGTCCATCCAGTCCCACACACCCCATGCCTAGGGTAGGTGCATAGGAGGTTCAGCCCTCGGGCCAGATAAAGAAGGAATGACTATTATATCCAGCTGCGCAATTATGTTGGGGTTCAATTCACGTGGAATAGACTAGTTTTTTGGTAAATAGGCAGTCACCACGCGTTCAGGGACACCATTCACGGTGAAGTCAGAACATAATTATGTAATAAACATAAGCTTGTCAAGAGTATATTCGTAAACTTGCCTAGTCAGCACATCGCCTAAACTTGTATCCTGTTTATTTCTGCAAGCACTCGTGTGTTCCAATATAGAGATAGCACAGCTATTTGAATTATTACCATACAACTGAAACATTCACGTTGTATCACAAGGTGGCCAAAGACATTCATGTAACACATATTTGTGATATCTTTAGCCAGTAGTAGCTCCTTAATTCCGATTGGCGCGAGATCTTCTTTTTTTTTTTTTTTTGGACTAGCCCACAGCCCACCTGGTGTTAAGTGGTTACTGGAGCCCATAGACATCTACAGCGTAAATGCGCCACACACCTTGAGATATAAGTTCTAAGGTCTCAGTATAGTTACAACGGATGCCCCACCCTTCAAACCGAAACGCATTACTGCTTCACGGCAGAAATAGGCGGGGCGGTGGTACCTACCCGTGCGGACTCACAAGAGGTCCTATCACCAGTAATTACGCAAATTATAATTTTGCGGGTTTGATTTTTATTACACGATGTTATTCCTTCACCGTGGAGGTCAATCGTGAACATTTGTTAAGTACGTATTTCATTAGAAAAATTGGTACCCGCCTGCGGGATTCGAACACCGGCGCATCGCTAGATACGAATGCACCGGACGTCTTATCCTTTAGGCCACTTCTTTTCCCTTCAGTAAAAAGTTGTTAAAAGACACGAGAAGATAAACCGTTATAGAAACTTAATTCAATTATTTTGGCTGATAAATTTAACACTATTCTAGCGTACTGGTGCTTAATTGACCTGATTACTCCACTTGGGATTAATACCTTGAATTTTGGCGTATCAACAGATACATTATAAAGATTTATTAGATTTGGTCTGGGCGGAGTGCGAAGTTAATTAAAGCACGTGCGTAATATACGTACAACCTTTGTGTAGAAAGGTGGTAGTTGAAATAATGTAGAATGCCAGGCTCTATTGACCCAAGGTTTATCTGACGAAGGTAAAGGATACACTCTAAATTATATCAAAGGATGATATTCAATTTGTGAAATTTATTACTCGTGTATGTAGTGTAGGCTTATAAGCTGTGGATACAATACGTCCGTTCGAAAAATTATCCATACATTTTACGATAAGTCTGCAGACTGTGGATAACTGTTTGTTCATGTACACGGCCACGCAACTCTAAGCTTGTACTTAGACTTACTTGTAAGGTATAGGAGGACAGTACATATTCGGTGGCGGCGTCCACTGATCCCAGGGTTCGTACTGGGGTCTCGCCGGTGCTCGTAAGCTGTACGCAGGTGGTCGTTTGTATTGGATCGAAAATTTTGGGGCGTAACTGCCCGGGCCTGGTATTTTTACTCGATCCTCTACGTGTGCGACTTGTGGCGAAACAACGCTATGTGTTATTTTGTATGGACCTAATCAAATAACAAAAACAATGATACACAAAAAATTATCTTGTTATTAGTTTGATGGTTTAAGCGATCGTTTCTCGCTGTAAGAATTTATTAGTATATTACTTGTTTTAAAACTAATCTATTATATTATATACTATTTTTTTCTAGATTTTTTTCATATAACTATTTTTTTTCTCTTCAAATTAAAAGTGAGATTTTGTATTTTAATGTTAAATTATGTTATCTTAAGCAATTCATTCAATGTTAAAAAAAACTTGCTCTAGTTGTTGTTGGCGGTCCATGATAGGTTTTTGTCAAAGTACCACAGTACAGCTAATACATAGAATCCCAAATTTCTTTAATGAAAATACTAACTTTGACCGCAAATCCAATGCGTATTCTGTGGTACAATAGCGAGGGTTATTTATTAATCAAGAGTTCGTGATCCCGAGAATTTCGTTCTTTAATAATATAACAAGGTTGAAAGACAAATGTTGATGGGCAGTCTGAAAGTCGAACGAAATTATATGATACACAAAATCAATTTGTATTTACGACGTACACGATCCGAAAGCTATGGTCAGAAATATGAAAGCACGGATGCAGTGTATTCAACTTGCCACACAAAAAACCATCTTAAAGATGTCACTTTCTCCAAAATTGAGCAACCAAATGATCTGTTTAAATCCATTTTCTTCTTCTTCTCAGTCGTGTCACTCTTGACAGAGTGGTCGTGATCGTCATGTAGTGTTGGAAGGGGCAGACTTGATGCGTCTCACGATGTCGCGCCATCTCTCCCTGCTCGATGCCATTCTACTGCACTCATTTAGGGGACCTCCTACTGCAGTTTTAATTTGGTCGGTCTACCGCATTGGTGGCCTCCCTTAAATCCATTATATACATTAAAAGTACCTTGTCTCCCAAGTCCTTGAATGTCGAACATTGGGGCGTACGGTGTTGTGACTGGTTTGGTCAGATTAGATTTTGTTAAGTGACCAAATGTAAAGGCTGGTGCACGTTTTACTTTCGAGAAACCTTTACCGCCTGAAATACATCAAAACTTTAAAATAACAATGTGGCAAGTGTTATTTATTTTAGCAAATTAATGGTCAGATATTTGAATATTGAATGGACAATTTTGGCACTTCCTTTTCAGTCAATATTCTCTTTAGGCTTAGATTCTCACCCGAGTGGTAATTTATGAAGTCCAAAGCATTGACACAACTATGAATAATAATAAATGTACAACATATTTAATAGCATGTAGATGATGTTTTTATTCTAGTAACACCACCATAAACACTTCTTAAATTTAATTTAATTCTTTATCAGATATTTGGCTCTTTCATTTTTGATTACTATTAAATTTAAATTAGATATAGTGGATTTTCGTAAGTATATAATTATACTTTTCACTAAGTGTTAGCTGAGTTGCATGATTATGAATGCTGTTATTTCTTTTTATAAATAGCTACTAAAAGGATATATAATAAAATAATCAAAGTATGGACTTCGAAGAATTCTATTCGATTGTCTGCCTATGACTCCGTCGTAGCATAGCAGTAGTGATCGGAAGGACCACAGATAATAGAATCGCGAGCGTCATTTCGAGTCTCAAATATTTCTTGGCAATTCAGTATGTTACGTCTTTGGTTAATAAGTTATCATGTTAACTATTATTTGTAGTATGCTTAATATGTTACCGTTCGGAAATCTGTAGTTTTTATATATAAAATTGCTTACAGAATATCTGAGGTAATTCATAGTGATTAGGTGCGGGAGATTTAGTTGAGTGACTTGTTCGGCGACGTTCTGTAGGCTTCGATGGTAGTTGTTTAATGTGTTTTGCTCGGCATTCCCACCCCCAAGGCATTTTAATTTGGGTAAATAATTATCTTGTAGAGAAAAATTGAAACTCAGTTAAATTACGATTAAAATATAACTTTACGAAAAAACGTTGACTGTTTATTTTTGCTTTGACAATTGGCATACAAAAAAATTTCAATGTCACAATAATATTAAAATAATTGAAAGATTACGAAAGAGTATCTAAATTTTCTTAAATCGCCGAAATTGGCTGAAATATCAAACCTGCTCACTGCTGAACAGAAAAAAGTGTAAGTTAGGGTTTGATCCGTGACGTATCGATTATGGCGACTAAGATGACCGACATGTTTGTGATTTAAGTTTATTTTGCTTATATATAAAGGTTCAATTAAGCCTTTTAGTACAACATAATTAACTTTGCAAAATATATACATTTCAGTTTGAGGTGTCTAAAGCTAGTCTTGTATCTAACGAGGCTGATCCTTAAAATTTCCAGCCAACCTTCACGATCATGGAGAACTTAGTAAATCGTTTTAAAACTGCCTTTTAAATATGCTGTAAACGGTTTTGCATAGAGATGAAACAACCTGGACGCTAAATCAAGGGAGCAAATAAAAACTTGGCGAGAATTCCACAACTCAGGAAATTGAGCTGCACCGGATATCGTCGCACCGGAACGACGTGCGACGGAGGAATGGCTTCCTGTCGAGGTGGGGCTGTCTTCATTATTCCTTAATTCTCTCACATTTCGATTCAGTAAATCACCTTAGTAATATTTCGGATGTCGCAACGAAAACCTTTGTTTAAGACAACAAAGCAATTTATAAGAAATATTAAATCGTTAGTGGCAAGCTACCAAGAATTATTTCTTGACATGAAAATGATGTTAATTGTAATTTCAATTTTCGTATATAATTATTTTTAATAGTTAATGAAATAATATGATGTGAGAGTGATATAGAATTACAACTCAGTCAAGACTTCATCTGATGAGGTTACATACGAAAAAAAAAAAATGAAGACAACAAAACGAAATTTCATTGTTAATAAATCAATACAACGTAATACGCTGTCTCGTTCATTTCTCTGTCATAATTTATTCAAGTAAGTAATGGAAAATTAAAAACGAAAACGGGGCAATATAGCGAGGTCGTGAGGCATTCATTATTCAAGCCATAAAGCTTGGGGTCATGCGGGTTGAGGGATTTCATAGATTCCTGCGTGGATGCGCACAACTCTCGCTAATAATATATACGTATTATCATTCGACGTCCCTTTGAGGGCTCCTTTAAGATCTGCGGTAGCAACCAATTACGTTACTAATATAAAGTAAACATTTGTTATGTGACTTAGAAATGAGCAATTTACGAAATGATGCGAATATTTCAAAATCGACTGATAAAGCAGTTACAAATATTACAATAAACAGTTACAAATATGAGAAGTAATTTTTTCAATCGTCAGTTTTCAGTTTGCTAAGTTATTTCCAGTTTAAAAAGTGATCGTGTTAGATAAGAACTTTAATTATCAAAAAACATAAAATTCCCAAAAAATATAATTGTATGGTCTTCATAACACTGGAATCCATACATTAAATACATATTATAATATTATACATACTTTATACATACTTTAAATGTGTCTTTATGTCTTTACTGGTGGTAGGACCTCTTGTGAGTCCGCGCGGGTAGGTACCACCGCCCTGCCTATTTCTGCCGTGAAGCAGTAATGCGTTTCGGTTTGAAGGGTGGGGCAGCCGTTGTAACTATACTGAGACCTTAGAACTTATCTCAACGTCTCAAGGTACGTTGTAGATGTCTATGGGCTCCAGTAATCACTTAACACCAGGTGGGCTGTGAGCTCGTCCACCCATCTAAGCAATAAATAAATAATAATATTTTATGCTCTATTGATTAAAAACATTATTAAGCATCAATAGTCCGTCACAAAAGGATTTCATCTAAGTTTATTGTTTCAATAAACTAAAATATATTGAACGAAAATGTAAAGCAATTAATTATTAATTATGGTATGTTTTCGAAACGAAAAACATAAGCAGTTCCTACGAAGCAAACAAAAGTCTGCGCACGTAATTAATTAAATGGTGTAGTAGGTTCTGTTGTTAATATCTTCGATCTCTCCAAGTGTGCTTTCTATCCCATTATAGCTGGTTAGTTTTTCTTTGGTAAACAGTTTATCCACCCACGTATATACAGACACGAAACTCTTCCGAACAAATACCTTGTATTTATGTTCACATTAGATTCGAAAAAAACAAAATTAACTTAGTAATTGTTCTATTTTATTTAAAATTGGGTTTGCCACGTGTATCGAACAAACCTTCTTCTTTCAGTAGATAGACATTCACGGTAATCGTGACGATTATAATAACCTGTGTTTTCCTCTTGAATTTGGTTTTGTACCTTTTCTCACTACCCGTATGTTTTCTCAGAGAAATAGATTTATATATTTAGAAATAGAGAGATATATATTTATTTATTTATTTATTGGCCTTGTAGGCAGACGAGCATACGGCCCACCTGATGATGAGTAGTTACCGTCGCCCATAGACTTCAGCAATGCCAGGGGCAGAGCCAAGCCGCTGCCTACCTTTATATACTGGTTAACTTTTGCGTAGCAACGGTGGTTACGTAATTGACCTTTCGTCCAATAGTTAGTTGGGTACCTAGATTTCATTTTAGCAGCACTGTAAATAATTAAGTAGGTACTATTTTATATAATATTAAATAAGATTTTATACCAAACCAGTAGATCTCCGACAAGTACAACTTCCAAATAGTTTTCTTTTACAATTAATTCCGTTTCACTATAATTACGTATTTATAGTCATCAATCATAGTAATATTAAGATTTTTAAATAAAACGTTACAATAACACGTTTTTTTAGTAAAGTTGAAAGATTAGAATTAAAATAGTGTTCGCCCAACGATTGAAATTCGACCGTAAGCACTGATGCCTCAAGATATAGATTCATTGCAAGTATGAAACTTTCTCTTTCCTTATGTTAGAAAGCTTCTAAAAAATTTACTATTTCTTTAAAAATATATATCATTAGCTCGTCAATAGCTAATAAATAAAATACGCAATTGGAAAGAAAACACTGACTATTTTATTGATAACGGTAAAGCTTATCTATTAAGCTGCTAAATAAACAATATCAGTTGAGAAGAAGCAGAGCAGAAAATGGTGCACCCGTTTTGTTGTTACCTGTCTATGTATAATTATCGCTCGTATAACAAATATACATACATACATATGTCCATTATTAGATGATTGAATTATTCCGTCAATCAATAATCATTGATCAATATGTTCATGTAATTTCAGTTGAAGGCCGGATACGACCGAAAATAACAGCACTAGCGAGCGCAAGGGTTGTTGGATCATCTATTATTTAGAGACAAACTACGGAATGTTCTGGGTGAAATCTCGTGGTCTGCCGCCTTTCACGTATATTACATCTCACAAAAGCTTTGTACATCTTTATCGAAGCGTTGCTGATAATGTGAATGCGTGATCATCCGAATATGTACATGCGGTCTGGAATGGAATACAATTAAAACTACTTTTACCGTGTAATCTCGCGTTTATATTTGTCAACGTATGACTTATTTTTTGTTTATTGCTTAGGTGGGTGGATGAGCTCACAGCCCACCTGGTTTTAAGTGGTTACTGGAGTCCATAGACATCTACAACGTAAATGCGTCACCTACCTTGAGATATAAGTTCTAAGGTCTCAGTATAGTTACAACGGCTACCCCGCCCTTCAAACTGAAACGCATTACTGCTTCACGGTTGAAATAAGCGGGGTGGTGGTGCGGACTCACAAAAGGTCCTACCACCAGTAAATATGCATATTTGAATGTGAGCACAATATTCCTATATAGGCTAATAACACCTCAGTCGTCCATGTCTCCAGAGTCTATAAAGGAATAAAAATTCGGAAATAATAAAATAAATACAATATACCCAAGATTATTCCGTAAAATTAGTTTTAATTAGTTACGTCCGCGATTCGCGACAATACTATCCAAAAATTTCATCAATTACAAAATAGAATTAGAATTAAAATTTAATTAATAGTTAAGTGGACGTAAATCGTATATGCACCCAATAAGACAATTATGTTTCCACAATTACAATAAGGCAATAAGAGAAAATTTATACGGAAATTATAGTTAAAGCGGTCAGCCGTGTGAGTCTTTCAAATTCTGGTGAATGGTGTAGAGTATTGACATAATTAAACAACGCTCTGATCGTATTATGGTTTACTCCTTCAAATTTTGTTTTCGCGGGTTCCGCGCGAGGAACATTCCGTTCTGTTAAATAATTAATTTGTTATTACCTGCGCCTTTTTTTGGCTTAATCATTTTTCATCTCGTTTCCGAGAAATGATTTCTCAGGCATCCGGCGTAGTAGCACGCGTAGCTTGTTCAGTTTTTCACTATTTTAAAATTTTGTTTCAAACTAAGAGTTCAGAAAGTGTCAAAGATTTTGTTCTTTTGATTGCTATGAACAGGCAGGGAAGCTCATACAATCTGGTGTTAATTGGACATGCACATCAGAATATGCTTACCGCCAACCATTTTGAAACGTGAGGTCGAGCCGCAAAGGTTTTGTTTTAAAGCTGCCCTAACCTTCAACGTCGAATTCATGACTGCTTCGCCACGTAAATTCGCACGAGCCCTCCTTAATTGATCTTGGGTATTTGTTCAGCAATCGTGCTATTTATACAATATGCTACATAGAATAACAATATTTTGTTGTATGATAGTCCGTGCTGGTGCCAATCAAGACCAGCGTTTGCGGCCGGTGATCATCAATGTGAAGCTCTGAATATTCATTACACAAATTACCGGTCTCGGGCGTCTTAGTCTATTTCCCACCACTACTAACATAACGTTAAGGCCGTAGAAAAGATATTAGTTTTATTATTTATAATATAATTGAATTCATAATTTACATTATATATTCAAGTTCTTATTATTTGTTTTTACTGTAAATTGCTTTGGCAAAATTCATTGC